TTAACGAAATGTGTACTGCTTACATATCTTGTATTTAAAGGTAGAGTTTTTATTTATACTTAAACACGAGTTCGCGAAGAATTTCGTTTAAGTTTATTTGTGGTAAAAACAAATGTTTCTTTTATCGTACTCCCGCTACCAAAAAAATTTACCATTGGATTCAGTACGAAACATTATTTGAGTATTAACCGCTCCCTCCCCCCCCCCTCCCATTGAATTTGATAAAGGGAATCTCATTTGGGTAAAATGGCTATTTTCAGGGAATTCCACTGAAGTGGCGGGGCCCAATTCGTGTAGTAGAACGCAACGCCTAGATCCAATTCGTACAACGCCATCTCATTCTATATTTCAGGAGACTTATTTCAAATTAATCTGTAAAATTATCACAGACAAAAAAAAAAAAAAATGGAATCATAAATAAGATATTTTAATTTAGTGATAAAATTAAAAGAAAATAAGTTGTATTACAATTTGGTGAACTGTGCAGGGTTCTTAAAAAAACCCTAGTGAATAATCAATGAAATATGGTTCAAGTTGAACCATCGAAATTTTTGAGGGGGGCATATTATGACGGGTTTTCAATTTTTTGAGGGGGGGCACCTTTCAACAGGATTATGAATTTTCGGAATGAAAATTTTCAATAAGGGACGAGGGAAAAATATGGAACAAACTAATTCATTTATTTATTTAAGCTTTGAGGCGTAAAACCCTAAGGTCACCAACGTCTGTTTGTTCTTTATTTTTGTTCTCTGGAGCTCAGAAACTCCATAGCTGAAGAGAAAGAAAAAGAATATATATATATATATATATATATATATATATATATATATATATATATATCTATATTCTGTTAAATAATCGATGAGTTTTAAGGAAGTTTATTCGATTATTCGATTCATCATTATTTATAGCTGAAATATTCGGTCTAAGTAGGAAATCCGATCCCCCCCCCCCCAAGGCCGATGAATATTTCATTATTCCTCATTATTAAATAACGAAATTCGTGTTGAAAACTAAAACAAAATATAATTATTAGATTTGCAATACATCGAAGTTTTAATGAAAGATTTTCTTTTTAATTATAAACATAAAATAGATAATAGAGAATAATTTCATGTTTGTATGATGTAGTAGGATTTAAAATGATCTACCACCCCATTTCTCATTAATAACAAAAAAAAACCCTTGATGAGGTTTTACAAAATGATTGAAATAGAAAAAGGTTTTATTTTTTAAAAGTTTAGGTACCACTGCAACTTTTATTGTTGATAGTTTTTTAGTTATTTTCGAACTAGAACGTTTTCCTTTGCAATTTTTCCAGCAAAGGTCTTACGGAACTTTTATTTAAAAGTTCTTTCGATTTCGCTAAAAAGTCGATCTAAAAAATGATTTTTATTCCTAGTTACTCAAACAAACGACACATAAGGATCTTGTGTAATTAATTTAAGTCAAATTATAACTCTAATCTAAGCCCAATTATGTTCATTTCTCACTTGAAGGAACTTTTTTTTAAGAACTTAAATAAATAAAAGTTATATTATTAAATCTTAAAAGTTTTCCAAGGGTATATATTAATAATAAGATTTATTATGTGGAGGACAATGCCTTATTTTACACTTATCCATTTATTGTATGCTATAATTCATTTAAATTTCTTGACGACATTTCGGGCAATTTTGCCCTGTTATAAATATATATGTAATGAATATAACAGCACATAAAAGGGCAATAAACGAAAATTCTATAATATCAAATCAATGAATGATATCTCTATTTACATCATTATTATACAATCCATATAATCATAATTTTATATAATAATTGCAAAAATTATCTCCTCAAAATCCTTCAAATTATAAAATTCATAAATTATTCATGAATATTCAATTCTAAAACAACTGTAAAGAAACACACAAGATATCACAAATAAGAAAAGGCCAAAAAAGAATTTTTTTTAATACTTTAAAATTCTATTCTATAAGTTATACTTTTACCGTAAATTTAGAACTTTAATAAAAAAAAAATAAAAAAAAAGTTGCTTACAACTTTTGTTTTTAGGACGTTTTTTTTCCAGAAAAAATTTCACAGGAACTGTTAAAATTGAACGTTTTAAAAAAATTCCATAATTGTTTCAGCCAATTTTACATATTACGGGTTTTATTCTGTAACACTTTACTTTGTAATAAGTTGATCTTATATTTTAACATTATTACTAAATTCTGTTATGAATTAAAAGGGTGATAAAAATCTAATATTTATGTAGATACATCAAATATATTTTCGGATTATCAGTTATACTTGATGAATATTTCAAGGAATAAGTGTCAAAAAAATTAAAAATAGGGAACGTGTGAATAAGTCATCTTCGAAGCTTTGAAAGTGTAAACTTCCATTTTTTCCCCTAATAACCAAAGAAGTGATACGATCAAGCTCCAACATCCATTTTTTTTTTCTTTGACCCAGGTTAAAGGTGAGGTACCCATTTTAAAAAGCCTGGTCGAACCTTAAGAGAGCCGGCTTAATTAGCTGTCGATCTACGGCCAATAGAAGCGTAAACGAAATTTTACTGGCCCTATCAGGTTTCATACCCGTGTATACATAAACAATAGCCCTGAATCGGTAGATTGTATCCTTCCTAAATTTTCAAAACCTTGTTTATAAACGAATACTTAAGTCAATGAGCTGGGTCAAGTGAATTCACCTTTTATTTAAATAAAAAAATAAAACTGATTTGTTTCCGTAATTTATAGAAATGGGTAATATGCACTTGGAAGAAGTTGCAATAATGCATTGTCATCAAGCCTTTGGGTAGCAGAGATGATTTATATTCTTTGTATAATTAAAACGAACGTTCTTCCTCATCAAAAGTACAATAATTATTACTTAATTTATGATGAAATGGGACAAGTAAATAAATGTAAACCATGAGGTTATTTTAATCACGTATTATCACACATTAAATAAGTTTGTATTTGTATTTCAAACCCTTATTTAAATATTTATTTACGCCATTATTTTATATATTTCAACAAAAATAGCCAAATTTGATATAAAAGAATATATAATTTTCATGCTTGTTAATGAGGGTACAAATTTTGCTCTGTAAGAGAATGGCGCTCAGAATATGTTGGTATGCCAAATTCCTATTTTTCAACTACACAAAAACATAGCTACAAGACATTTCTTGTTTTGAATTAAATTTTAATTTTTAATTTATTTTTCTTTTACTTGAATCAGGCACTGTTCAAGATAGAAATCATCCAACTTCCTGAAAATTAGATCCACATTGTGTGATAAATTAGCACCATTTATCTATAGTCAGAAATAGCAATAGTACATAATTGAGCAAAATATCAACAAATTTTGAACTTTAGTATTAATAAAACTGCTTTGAAAACATTATTTCAAAATGATTAATGTTTATTAAATGTTTTCCCTTATTTTTTATGGATTGGATATATTGAAAATATGATTGCAAGTCTGTGCGATATTCGTAAAATGAAATGTCAAAGTTTTAGCTTTTCAGTTTAATCAGTTAAAAGTGACAACAATAACAGAAAAATAAATTCAAACTCTAATTACAGATTTCGAACAGTTCTGCTATCATCAGGACTAAAATAAGATCGGAATAATTTATTTTAAAAAAATTAAAAATTTTACTAAATATAAAGTGAAATTGTAGAGAATATATTTTATTTGTATTCAGTTTATGTTCGTAATATTTGTTATATTGATCGATAATTAATTATATAATCGATTATAAATTCGTTCAGGTTGCTACGAAGATGGGTTTACGAGTGTATAAAATCAAGGCTTACGTTTTGAGATAAATAGAGAAAAAAAAAATTATTTAAAAGAGTGCTGTCCAATTATATTGTGTTTCTAAATACCCATCATACTTATTAATTTGAATGGACAATTTGAATATACATGAGTATGATAAATATAGATATATATTTCTTTTTTTTTTTTCCTTCCGCTCTGTTTTTCTCCCTTTATACAAGTGTCCTATATTTTTACACTCTTTTTACCTGATCTAATTCATACTTAACAATGACGAAGATTAAAATTAAACAGCAATAGCGATAAAACAATTGGTACAAACAAGAAAAGATGAATAAAGTCAATATATAAAAATAGAGTAAATATGTTCAATAAATAAATTAAAGATGCTGCGGTATCTATGAATAACCTCTTACCCCATCCGCCCCCACAATAATAAAAAGGAAATAAACTATCGATTTTCATTAAAATGGTCAATAAAATACTTCCAATAAAATATAGAATGAAATGGAGGCGATTTCTTGAAAGGAAGAAAGAAAGCTATGCCAACGCGAAGTAAAGGAAAACTCGCGACATCGGCTAAATACAAATATATATTTTTTTTTAGAACTCAAAAAATTAGATAAACTGTTTTATTGATACCTCATGGAGTTCGTGGAGTACCGGAGAATATTTTAAATTGGCAGAATATGAATTTGTCACTGTTTTTATTGAATTCTGTTCTATAGAAAAAAATAAAAGATTTAGCCGATGTTATGAGTTTTTCGTTTTTCATCTCGCTGTTCCTCGTCCAGAAAATTAAGAAAGTGGAGGGGAAATACTATGTTTTTTCACTTTATGATAGAGTTTGAAAAGTAAGGCCTGTTCCAAGCTCATTCAGTCTTGGAAATGTTGTAACATATCCTGATATCTGTTCAAATGATCGTGAATGACGTATATTTTGAGTAGTGAGCACGATATACAGATAAAGTATCGATTTCAATTAAAATTGTAAAAAAGTTCGTTTCCACACTGGTACTGTGGCAGATTCATTGGATGTTATGCTTAGCGAATGGTCTAATAACTACATGGCGTAATAAATCAATGATAAAATCCGTCCGACAAGATGCTAAGCTTATAAATATTTATACCTGAGACAGCAGATAATAAATCTGCATTGTTGAATCCTAAATTGCAACCACCATTCGAATTTGTTTTATGCTGCTACCGCTTGCATCTTATTTGCAGTCCAACACCGCCTCAACCTTTGACGTTAAACCGACGCCGTGATGTAGCGTTCGATTCATTATGACGGAATATCTAGCAAAGAGATAGTTTAATTTAATTCCGGTCGTGGGCCCATTGTTCAATCGACTATTGTCAACATCGGTGGGCCAACGCTCTCCTACCGGACTTCCTTGATAGTCCCAGCGATCTGGGAGGAATAATGACATGACACATGCCCGGGGACAAAACCTCATCCTGGATAGCTGCGACATTCCACAAAGTGTCGCGCGGAAAATTGCCCTTTTACAATGGCGTTTCCTGGTTTAGAGTGTTTTGAGGATCCAAGAGCGGAACGCAGTTCGAAGAAAGGAAAAACTCGTTACGATACATTTTTTATAAATCGTGTCTAGTGTTGGTGAGGAGTCTTGGTCTTGCAAACTCAGTCTTGGTCATGGTCTTGGTCTTGCGCAAGACTCTCGCAACAGTCTTGCAGATACTTATTAGCTTATCATTATAGAGATATTACTGTAATTCTTTAGATAGGAGAAACCTATCTAAACCTAACTTAGCCCGAATGAAAAATTAGAGGAGTTAAATGCAAAAGTATATTAGTTATACCAATTATTAACATATAGTAACTAAAATATTCGATTATTAGTAACTATTTTGCCATAATTTATATTAAAATAATCCATTTTTTTTTTTACCAGTCCTGGTCTTGGTCTTGAAACAGTAAGGCGGTCTTTGTCTTGGTCTTGCAAAGTGCAAGACCAAGACCGATTTTGCGCAACACTAATCGTGTCTTGAAAAACCACCCAGTTAAGGTATTAAATGCGAGACTGAGATAAGTCTTGGTCTTGCAAACTCAGTCTTGGTCTAGGTCTTCGTCATGCGCAAGAGTCTTGTTACCTATTAGCTTATAACTATAGAGATATTACTGTATTTTTTTTAGATTGGAGAAACCTTACTAAGACCAAATGAAATATTAGAAGAGTTAATCGCAAAAGTATATTGGTTATACCAATTCTTTACATATAGTAACTAAAATTGTCGAGTATTAGTAACTATTTTTATTCAAAAAATCATTTTTTTTTACAAACCCTGGTCTTGGTCTTGGTCTTGACCAATTTTATAAATTTCTCAACGCAAAATGTTTGAAGGTTATTTGACATTGTATTGTTATTGCAAACTGTTATAAAAATTATAATTATATTTTCTTACAGTTATAAATGTTATTACTAGTATATTTATGTATCGATGTAGCACAGAAAGGATTGGTGCAATATTTATTATATATTGACGTGTTGATGTAGGCTACAATGAAATTCGCTAATAAATAAATAATTATTGCGTCAGTCATTTTATAGGTAACTGTTCAGTCATCACTTTATTGGGACTGAAAAGGTGCGTGAGCTTGTTCAGCGCAATCCAACTCGAAATTATATGAACCCGGCCATAAAATTGATGTACATTTTATGGTTATTTAGAATTTTTAAATGGTCCAACCGGAGTGAAAACCATATATAACAACCTATATCAGAATCACTAGTAAAGCAACAAAAGATTTTATTATAACCCATTTATCGATTTTACGATCGTGCGGTTTCATACGCAATAAGTAAATATTACAACTCATGAGAGCTATACGTTCTCAATACGACTTTGAGAAGCCACCCAGCTTCTCCATTGCAGCAGAAATCACATCTTCCTTCTCTCCAATCGTTAAGATGAATATAAACCTGGCAAAGTTGCAGGATAGCGGGACAACGTGATTACACAGATCGCTGTGGAATAAAAGCTATTTGCTCATGTCAACATCCTGGGATTTTTTATTTTACTTTCACTTACCTATTCGTGAAATACATACTTAGTAATGATTGCTATCATGAAAAACTCATCATTCTAGTTTTCAACGGAAATATATGTTTTGAGATCCTCTGAGTCCAATAACCAGGTCTTGCAAAATTGTATGTGAATAATAATATACATTGAATTTGAAAGAATGTACATTGAAATTGCCTATATAAGTAGGTTTACGTGTGAGATGTTACAGCAACTTCTGATTTAAATAAATTACAACTTTTCATATTAAAAAAAACAAACTGATATTATTTTAAAATCAAGGAAAGCATCGTTTACATTATTAGTTATTTATTTTAATTTTTTTAAATTTATTAATTGAATATTACAACATTCTATCACATGGACATTTTTTATTAATAAAGGCTTTATTTATTTAATATCAGTTAGAACTCCTTCCCCTAAAGTATCTTTAATTTTGGTTATCAAAGATAATTAAAGGTCTCTCTATGTCATTAGTGATGTGAAATGGATAAATGTGAACTATAAAAGAATTTGATAATTAACTTAAAACAGGAGAAATATTTTCGCTGGTTGAAAACAAATTTCCGGAAATAAGAGTTGTCATATATGTTTATAAAATATAGTTGGAAATCTAAAGATTCTAGGAAAATTAGGAAGGACGAAAAACTAATGATTTTATATGAAGATATGATAAATAGATCGATAGAAAAGTTTTAATTATTTTGATTTTTTATGTTTTAGTTAACAATGTCTACTTTTATATTATTGAATGGAAAATTAATACTTTTCTAGAAACTAAATGGAATTTCCATAAGCTTGACTTGGCTTCAGATTAACAAACCGAAGATATATCGAGCATAGAATTGACAGATTTAATATATTCATATGATATTCAATTAGAATGATATTTTTATCATTAAAAAAAAACTATATAAAGTAGTTACAGCTAATTCAAATTGAGAAAAGATGAAATAATTTACTTGGTTGAAAAAAAAAAATATTCAGGAATAAGTGTAATATAGATGTACGATATACCGTTGGAAAGCTAAAGATTTTTAGAAAAAAACGGTATCTAGACGTTAATGGGTGAAAGACGAAAAATTGGAAAAAAAAAGAAAGACTTTTAATTGTTGAAGTTAGCAGTCTCTATTTTTATAATAGAAATAAATGGGAAACTTTAAAATTTATTTTCACCTTGGCTATCCAATGTAGATTGAAGAATTACTATGATTTAGATTAACTGTCGTAATTTTTTAATTATAATTAAAGTAATATTCTTAAGTTTTATCAACCTAAAAAAAAGTCTTCAGAATGTAGTTATAACCAACTAAAGAAGAAAAAAAGGTGAAATGATTTAATTGATATAAAACGAAATTCCGAGAGTAAGTGTCTTAATATAGACGGTATAATACCGTTGGAAAGTTAAATATTTTAGAAAATTAATATCGAACATCTAGAAATTAATGTTGAGTGACGAAATCTTGGCAATCGTAGTGGGTTTATTAACTTTGTATTTTTTTAAATTAAGAAATAATATTGTACATTTTGCCACATTTAAGGATGCTATTTATTCGAGCTATGAGTGAAACATTGATACCACACATACATCTAGAGTATAATAAAAACAAAACAAAAATTATAACTAAAAAAAAAAAAATAAAAACTGCACTGTAACTTTATATAATATTAATTGCTACTGAAAGTAGGATGTTTAGTGAAAGTTTTATGTTGTACTGCTCAATTTTTTTTAAAATTTCGAAACGAAAATTTTAACGGACTATAATCCCAAATCCAAGTAAATGTGCAAGAGCCCTTGATATTTACTGCCTTTGAATCACGTCTTCTAATACGAAGAAGAAGGAAGACGCAATCGATGACAGTGGAGAGGAGTATCCATACAGGAACACGTGACCAAAAGGGAACATGGACAAGGAACGGACGAAGCCCTGTCATCAATCACTTCAAGTACTACTGGTCTGTAGCTGCTACATCCAAAGGCATCCCAATCGATTTATAGACCGTCCTCCAACCCGACGTAATCGGTTCGACCTCGCCAAAGTACGAGGAAGCAGGGCTACTTGTCGCTTGTCAGTAAGAACTTGGAAATCGTTTGACGAGAGGTGTCAAAGCAATGCATCACTTGGGACCACTATCTAAGTATGACAAGGCCAGAGCCGTCTAGGGCTTCCCGTGCACCCCGGCACCTGCATACATTGATTTGCCAACCGTATCCAGTTCAGTCAAGCAGTGGAACATGGACTGTGTCCATGTCAGTCGAATTATAATTCCATGAGCACCGTTAGTGCTGTCCTGTCTATGATCATAAGTCAATCATTAATGAACCATATAAAGTATGACTATCGTATCCGACAGTTGTAGAAAGAATTATATAACAATTTATTGGAAAGTTTTCTCTTCCGTGAAAACTAGGAAAAATTCAGAATGAATAGTCTATTTATTGATAAAAAAATCCTAATTAGTATTGAAATGATCAATACATAGTAAAACAGTTTTAAAAAAAAAATTAATGATTTAAATTTACAGCTGTTTTTAATACAAATAAAACAAGCGAATGTGAATTGGCATAATCACATGAACATACTTGTATAGAAACTACCCAATAAAAGCACCCCAATAATGGTTTTATATTAGAAAGTCCCGCGGCCTTTTTCTATTCAGATACCTAAGAGGATTGTCTGGAATCAAAGAGAATGCAATGTTAAGAACTAGTGGCTGTGGATGTGCCTGAAGTTTGTTATATATAGATAGTTGATTGGGCTAAATTGGTAACATATGGAATACCAAAGCCATTAAGGATAATTTTATTTGTGACAAAGTAAGGATCATTGAGAATTTTAGATTGTCAAGATCGAATACGAATGGAATTTGATGGTTTGGTGGAGTCTAATGGTTCTTACTGCAGTCATTTATTAGTCAAATAAATGGGTCTTTTATAGTTAATCGGATGCTTATAGCGTTCGCCTAGTAAGTGCTAAAGTAACCGGAAACATTAAACAGATTTTTGAATGAGGATTCCAAGACATTTGTCCAGATGGACTCCTAGGTAGATTAGATGAGTAAACATGATTTTTGATGGGTTTTGTTGGAATTTATTTTAATCCTCCACTTTCCACACCATCCTTTAAGGTTTGTGATATGTGAATGAAGAATTTGGAAAGCAGTAAATGGGTCATTATTAACTGATAACATATGTGTCATCAACATATGTGGTAATGATAGTGTTACGATGTGTTGGGATATCTCAGTCGTTTACGCAATATTTAGATTCAGGATATATCAGAAAAAGGATTCACGATGATTCAGACTTTGTGAAATCTCCGAATCTGATTCAGTCCACGAATTAGTAGCAATAAGGAAACTCGACCAATAAAATACCTCCTCGGCTCGGTCCCAGACCAGCTTAGGGCCAATCAGAACCCATTAATTTGGTCACGGCTGGTGACGAAGACTTCACCGCGTCTCCTAATGGCCTCGTCGCACGGAAGTGAGCAGTAAATATCCGGACCAGTTCTTAAATCCCTCGATAAGATTATGGGAGCAATTACAGAAAATTACAAGATGTCGATGAGACTATGGTAAAGAGCGGTCGGAGAGTTCTCTCCCCCACCATTTTAATTTTAATGAGATTTGCGTTGTGACATAGGCGATGGCTAATTCTGATTCCGAGCCCGCTCGGCGAATCACGGTTTCTTCCACTGCCAAAAGTTGGGATGTCGGATTAGATAATCCTGTTCGTTTAATTAGTCAGCGGCTACTTGATATTCAAGCTTCGTCCTGCTACGAATTGTACCTCGAATAACTCATCGTGTTCGCGCCCATGCTCGACAAGGGGGGGAGGGAGTCGAAAATTTAAAGGCTTACATCCAACAGTTTCTATTGGGAATCAGCTCATAGTTATATACAGCATATTATTGAAGGCTCGTACCATGATATTTTTACTTCGATCCCGAGTTCATATTATCCTTGTGGATATCTAAAAATATTATAAAAAATTGTTATAGCTAATTAAAAAAAAATTGTTCTAACTGATCAGTTCCTTTCTGCTGTAGTCGTAGCACACATCTTCGTCTTGTTTCTCCCTTACAACAATAGTTGGGGAGGTATTAAAATAAGATTAAAAACTATCTACCTATCTGAATTTCAGTTAATTTTATCATGTCGGATTTTCCAGTTATCATTGCGTGATATTAAAAAACTTAGTTTGCTGTCTTTCTTTTACAGAGATTCCCTATTTCATTGCAAATTCAAAGAATGATCATTTTCTCTATTTCCATAACTATTATCCTTCTCTGCTTAAGGATGAACTTAAGAAAAAAATTATAGCCACGTGACTACCGAACGACAAGAACTGATACCCTGAACAAATTAATTAAGAAACTAATAAAAGTTGAGAACTATTTTTCATACCCTCAGGGGATTCAGCCAAGAGGATTTTACTATTAAAAAATTGGCGGAAGAATAATAAAAGGTCGGCTCTGAAAAATGTGGAATGAGGAAATAGAATATTCAGTACTGGGGCATAGTTTGCGAAAGGAATGGACTTTGGACAGTAAAATATGGCAGGAGGCCTTAGAAAATTCATAGATCAAGATAGCCATTATTTAATGGAAAAATCCTACATAAAAAAACAAAACAATTTTCTCTGTATTCTATTTAATCTACACCATATAGAAAACAGTGTTACAGTTAACTTTTTCCGAAAATTATCCATAAATACTTCAATATTCCTTAAAGGCTTGGCCCAAACTAGATACTCCTCTTTTAATTCTAAATTCTTTGGTCACCCCAATCCCCATACCTCTCATCCAATACAATACCTGACAACCCTCCGAGGCGTCTGTAAAGAAGACGGCCAAGGGATCTTCTAAAATAATCTTTGAAGCGTTACCAATTAATAGTTTCTTCACAATTTCTTATCATGTTATATATTTCTGTAGCATATTTACTTTTTGTATGTATTTATACAGTTGTAAATTTCAATGAATAAACCTTATCCGAATCTCTGGAGCAATGGATTTTGATGAATGAGGTATCAAACGAAAGGGAATTTCATGGAGTGACGAATCCAAATTTTGTCGAGTTTCAAAGTTGTTAAAACAAAAATGGGGGTTTTCAAACTCAAAAGTCGAGGACATCAAGACCAGACAAATATTCTTTTAAAGATTTCGATGTGGTTTGCGTAAATATAAGATATAGAGAGATAGAAAAAAGCTATCTAATGTCACGGAGATATACTAATTTCTCACATTCATAAAAATATTAACTATTATAGTCTTAAGGTGCGTTTGGTCATTTCATAAACTATTGCAAACACAATAATCTAAACTCCGGATATATCAGAAGCATTAAACAACGACGAATCAAACATAAAAGCAGTAATAAATTTTCTTTAAATCAATAGGATATTAAATAAAATAGAGAAATAAATATAATTTTTATTTGATTGTGTTTTTTATCTTTAGTTACTTATTTTAATTTATTTCATTTTTATATGTTTTCTTTTATTATTCTATCTGTTTATTTTTTATTCTTTTTTACTCTCTTCTAAAGAGTTTCTGAACTCAACAGATAACAACTGAATCACCGGCGTTGATGACTTCAGGGTTTTGCGCCTTACAATCATATCACAATCATATTACAGTCCTAACAATCATATGACTTAACTTATTGCTAAATAAACTATAAAAACTATATAAAAAAAGAAACAAAAATACTAGCAAATGAAATAACCGTTTATATTTTTGTTTGTTCCATAGTTTATGAAATGTCCTAATGGACATTAATGTGAATAAATCAAGTTCTAGAGATGCATCAGCTGCAGCTCCTTTGCTTTAAGGTGAAGTTTAAATGACTTCCTCAAAACTCAAGTTTTACGAACTTATTCTTCACTGTTTTAGCATTTCTTAGGAAAATAAATAATTGAATTGCGGTGTAATTGCAAGGTATATCACATTCCTATAGAAAATTATACCCTGTGCTATTGTTTGTCTGTTTCTCCCTTAACCTCTCATTATCGAATTTCGTAATCACTTTTTTTTTTCTTTTTCATCCGTGTTTTTTTTTTGTTTTCCTTTCCACCATAAGCTAACACAGACAACCCGGCACGTGTTCTAATCAGAAGCTGTGGCTTACTTCCAGGCCGCTGGTATAAGAAGTGGGAATCAGCATATGTTGTAACTAATGAGCTTTATGCCGCAAGACCGTAGTTTGCGGCTTCGAAAACTGTTTTTGGAAATTGGTTAAATGCGTTCCCTTGCGGTTGACCAGTTGGGAAGCGGGACGGGACCACCTGTCACACGGACATTTCAGACGGGAACCGGTTTAAGCTAAAAAATTAGCTAGCTCCTCTGACGTAGCCCTTCCCGATGCCACCGGCAATCATCACAATCGGAATCATAGTCATCGGCCATTTGTCACTTTTGTCATCTTCAAGTCAAAAGTCTGACATCTTTGGGACCGCTCACTTTTCGAAGGGTAGCTACTCACTTATTCACAACTTCGACTCGTGGAATAAAGCAACCATGGGCAAAAAAAATACATATACGAAATACGCACGCCTGATGAACTAAAGCTTTGCAATTGAATCTTAAGGTAATAGGTTTGCTTTAGTGAGGAAAGGGGTTATGGAATTAGGATACAGTGGATATAATTTTTTAAAAATTAATTGGAAATAATTATTTTATTCTAATAATATTATAACTGAACACTATATAATAAAAGTGACGTTTCTTGAAATTATTTGATTTTCAATATTCTCCGAGGTATTACATATATTGAATCCTTTACATAAATTGAATCATTTCTTTATTATTAAAGTACTTAAAAAATATATTTAAAAAGGCATGTTTTTTCCCGAACTAAACATCTATCAGTCAACCTTTATTTGTTTATATTACAAAATATGCTATCCTGCCTTTTCCTATGACAAGAACCCGAAATCCTGCATAATTTATTAAGTTTAATTTTCTTTTCTTTATCTATTGAGTAATTTACCATTTTGTCACATGGTTAGGATTTTTTAAACTTATCTCTCACCTTCCAGGAGTTCGTTTTAGCTTGAGAAGAAATGTTTATTACACTACCTATTGGCGAGTTTGACTTTGAGATTGCTATCTTAACTGCTTGCGAAAACAAACCAGACCTACAAAAGTGAACACCTAAATAATTGTATGTACTGACTGTATCAATCAGTTCTCCGTCCAAATATATACTATTATATTTCTTTCGGCGCCCCCTAGATAAATTCCAAATTTACGTTTTATCAATGTTTACAATTAGTTATTGTCTCTGCAGTATACGTTTAGAGCATTCATTTTTTTTTTACAAAGTCGATATAGGAGTCACCAAAAATAGTCACGTCATGGCTATCAATGGCTGGTTATACTCAGATAAGACTATATTCACACTATATGCATTAATAAAATATAAAATAAACAGAAGTAAAATAAGAACTAAATATATCAATAAAAATGTATGTACAGTGAATAAAAATAAAATAACTTGAAGTAAGTAAATTTAAAAAACAGATATAACTATATGCTTACAATCAGGCAAGGCAACCCAAGGCAGATTTGTCCTTAAAACTATAGAGAGAAAAGCAGGGCTCAAGGAGATCCCTGCGCTACTCATATACACTCATTTCTAGACCTGAGAATCCGGCCATTGCCAAATGATTTTTATAACAAAGGATAATTGTATTTAAAATGTATTACCACCGTCCTTTAAAAATTTTTTAGGCTCAAATTATGGGGTACAATAAAGCACTAGAGATCTGAATCTTGGTTGATAGGAGTTTCTTGTAAGGAAAACTTTGGTCCAACTTAGCTTGACATAGTTTTTCAAGTATAAAATTCGATTTATACAACTTATCTATAAGTATTTTTGAAATAGCACTAAATATTTAAAAAAATTAAATTTAAAATACGTTTTAACAATAAAATTTATACCCCAGTATCCACTGTAATCCAGTCAATGAATGCTCGAAAAGGGGGTATAGAAGGAAATGGCGGCGACACTATTTTTGACTCTGGGACATTGTTTGGAATAGTAAGGAGGTAAACATACTAGAAGTCCACTCCTAGGAGGTGAGCCGAATGCGGGGAGGAGTGGCGAGAAGGTCACTTTTTTCAAGTTTTCGCTTATGTCAGGAAAACTATCAATTTTATTGACAAAAACGTTCTATACGAAATTAAAGCCTATAAAATTTTCAATATAATTGGTATGTACCACTGTTTATTATCTCGCTTATTTTCCGAGATATCCGTCGTCAACTATGGCTAATTTTGAAAAAAACAAAAATTAGCCTCGCTTTTATTGGTGTTATTCGCGTTTTCGCTTACATCAGGAAAACTATCAATCGCATTGACAAAGCCGTTCTATACAAAACTAAAGCTGATAAAATTTAAAATATGATTAATTCTATGCCTTTTTTTGCTGTTTCTCTTAGTTGATTAGATATCCGTCCTCAGCTATCGTTAATGTGGAAAAAAAAAATTTTTTTACCTCATGTTTTTTACTGTATTTAACCAGTTAACTTCCGATTGCTTCGTTTTACGATTAAGTCATACGGAAGAAAGTTTTTAGTAATTACATTTTCTTTAAGAATATATATTATTTTACTAATTTATCCCCAACGGTTCAAAAGTTAGATCAGTTATAACTTTATATATCGATTTCGAGAATTTGCCGTAAAAATAATTCTTATAATAAACGTTATTGTATTATGTATGTTTATATATACATTAAGATTTAGATATATAGAGAGTGAGAGAGCAATATAATAATAACAAATATACCACTTCAGTGCAAATCGGTAATAAAATTATTTGTTCCTTCAAATAATCCAATA